TCCTCCGGGGCAGGTGGGAATCGAACTCATGCGGAAGTGGCTTTAGCTTCTCAGTGCAGTGCTTTAACCCGCTGCGCCACCAGGGAGGGCCAGATGATTAATTTTTTTTAAAGATTTATTTTTATTTATGCATGCATGCAAGAACTGGGGTCTTAGCCAGAGGTGCAGGGGCTGAGAGGACTCATCAGAGATAGAGTAAGGAGTAGAACAGGCAGATGTACTGAAATCCACTGCTGAGGGGAACAGCAGGCTAGACAGGAGAGGTCTGCTGTGCGCAGGGGGTCACCTCCCTGGCAGGGGATCAAACTCATGTTGCATTAACTGGCCATACCTTGATAGCACTGAGACTTTAATCCTTGCACCACCAGAGAGGCCCATGATTAAGTTTTTTACCTTGAGATGGGAAGATTATTCTGGATTATTGGAGTAGGACCCATTTAATACATGGATCTTTAAAAGTTGAGAACCTCTTCCAGCTGCAGACAGAAAAAGATGTAGCAGCTGCAAAGACCCTGGGGTCAGAGTGCACCTTGGTGGTGCAACATATTAAAACACAGCACTACGAAGTTATCAGTAGCCACTGCAGCACGAGTTCCATCCCCGGCCAGGGAGTTGACCCACATGGTGCTGCAGACCTCTTTTCTCTCACTGCTCTCCCCTCAGCAGTGCATTTCAGCAGATCCACCTGTTCTGCTCCCCACTCTGTCTCTGGTGAGTGCTCTCAGACCCCGTACCTCTGGCCTGTACCCCAGTTCTTGTAAGCATAAATAAATATTTGTTTTAAATTAAAGAAAACAAAAGAGGAAAGAAAAAGATGTAGGACAGAAGAAGAGGCAGGAGAAATCTGAAGTATAAAAGAGACTTGATGTGCCACTGCTGGCTTTGAAGACTGCAGAAGGTCTTTGAAGTCTGCGAAAGGGATCAGGAGCCAAGATATGTGGGTGGCTTCTAGAAACTGAGGATGGAAAGGAGATATTCTCTCCAAATAATCTGGGAGCAATGTAGCCTTATTGACCTTTTGATTTTAATTCTGTAAAACTGGTGTTGGGTGCTTGACCTTTAGAATTGTAAAATAATAAATTTTGTTGTTTTGGCTGCTACCTTCGTGGCATTTGGTTATGATAGCAATAGAAAACTAATATACAGATGTTTCTGAGCACACAAGAGAATTCTCCTTCCCTTCCTTCATGTTATGGGTGAATAACAAGCTATGAGTAGAAGGGCTAGAATCACTCCTGAGTCAAGCCATCAATTTCTTGTGTGCTCTCTCTTTCCCTTTCACGATGATCAAGAATACCAGGAAATGCATTTGGTGTAGTAACAAGATGTTGGATGCCTCTTAGCCTGGGTCCTTGAACAACTTTGTGGCAAACCACCTCTTGCATGGGACCTTCTGTGTTTACAGCTAAGCAAGGCATTAACTTTCATTGTGTTAAGTCAACAGAGCTAGCCTACCAGACTAAAGGAGGGCTTCAGTGAAGTATGGAACTAGCTTGCTATTATATAAGGAAACATCTCAGGAAGAGAGAATTGCAAGTGCAAAGGCCCTGGGGTCAGAGTGCACTTGGTGTTTAAAAGAATAGGAAAGAGGCTGAATTGTGAATGAGGGAAGCTTGCAGGAGGCAAGGTCAGTTACATGAGAGGAGTAGATCTAGTGGGCCTTTGTAAAGCTGGGTAAGGACTTTGGATTTTATTATGAAAGAGGTGAAGTCAAGAATTTTGAGCATACTGGTTGCATGATCTAGTTTAGGTTTTAAAGCCTTTATCTTGCCTCCAGTGAAGAAGACTGTCAGGGGCAGTGGGGAGAGTGGTGTGCAGATTACTGCACTAAACTAGGCAAATAGTGGTGATGGCTTGGACCAAGGTGATAGTCATGGAAATGGTAAAATTATGAGCATATTTACTAGCGTGCACACTTTGCTGCTGGACTGGATGTGAGGGCAAAGTGGAGTCATGCCCAATTGCACTAGCTTCCAGAAAGAGCAAAGGAATAGAGTTTTGATGGACTAGAGAACACTTCACATAAAATCCCTTAAAGACTCCTAAGTTCTGCTTCAGAGCTGCCCCATTGAACTGCAACCAAAGGCCAACCCCCCCAGATATATAGGATGTAATTGGTAGCTTTGGGGTCAGCCATCTCCTAAAGGCTATTTCCTGCCTTTTTCAGTCCTATCAGGAGTTTACCCAGAACCCTTATTTCCTGGAGGATATGGATCTTTCTTCCTAGTACCCATGAGGCCCTGACTCCCCATTGAGGCCCGTTTTTCTTTCCACCCTAATGGACCTTAAATAATATCCCTTCCTTTGAGGGATGGACCTTAAATAATGTGCCGTCCTCAAAGTACTGTCTCAATGATTCTACCAGTGCCCAAATCTGAAGCTGTGTGGTTGATTATACGTACAGGAAGCAGAGGCCTGAGAAACAAGAAAGGTGCAAGCCCTCCACCATCTTCCCTGTCATGGTACTCACTACGCTTCCTGCCCCTTTAGCCCTGCCCTTTGGCCTGTTGGTAACTATTTCGTGGGAGTAGAGGTCTGCTTAGCATAGTTGTTCCACTCTGGATCTCCCAAATGGCTATTCTCTCAGGAAAGTGTTAAGACTGGGCTTCAAAACCAGGTGAACCCCTGTTAGAACTCTCAGATTCACTTCAAGAATCTTTATTCTTGGATGCCTCCCTGGTGGCACAAGGGGTTAAGTCTCAGTGTTATGACGCTATTGGCAGCCTCTGCAGTTCAGGTTCCATCCCTGGCCAGGGAGCTGACCCTCAGGGCACAGACCTCTCCTGTCTAGTCCGCTGCTCCCTCAACATTTCAGTAGACCCACTTCTTCTGCTCCCCACTCTCTCTGGTGAATCCTCTCACCGCCTCACTTCTGACCTACAACCTACCATATATTATATGCATAAATAAATAATTTTTAAATTTTTTTAATTAAAAGATTTCATTCTTTTCTCAGAGAACATCCTGAGCCCCAATAGGAACCAAACAGTCCACAACCTGGAACTTTCTTTTTTTTTTTTTTTAAGATTTATTTATTTATGCATACAGAACTGGGGTACAAGTCAGAGGTGCTGGGGGTGAGAGGATTCACTAGAGACATAGTGGGAGCAGAACAGGCAGATCCACAGAATACACTGCTGAGAGGTGCAGCAGGAGGGTCAGGAGAGGTCTGCTGCTGCCTGTGGGTCAGCTCCCTGGCTGGAGATCGAACTCGTGCTGCAATGGCTGCTATAGCTTCATAGTGCTGCGCTTTAACCCCTTGTGCCACCAGGGAGGGCCCTAACCTGGAACTTTCTGGAAGACTGGTACTCTGTACTTCCTTTCCCGCTTTTTCTAGCCACCTGGTGCTTTTGACCAATCATCAGACAACACGAATCCCGACTAGACCTAGTTACGGCACATCAGCACTTTCCGTGGAGATTGGCCATTGTCAGGGAGCACTGCCATACTTTGACTCTTCAGATTGACTCAGGGCCTCCGTTTGCCGCTCAGACTCTCAGCACAAACCAGAGCTCTGTAGACAAAAATCCTCCAGACTTAAGACTTTATTGAGGGAAAGAGCTACATAGGGCAATGGACCAACTAGTCTAGTCAGAAACCAATGGTCCTGCCTGAGGGTTGCTGCCCGGTGAGACCCGGATGTTGGCGCGCGGAAGTGACGTCAGGACTCTGTGGCCTCTGATTAGCTGTCTCAGACGCGTCCTTGAGTGAGTAGGCTGCGGTCAAGGTCACTTCCAAGTACTTTTGCTGGCGTTGGTGGCCGTTGAGCTACGGCGTTGGTGCTTTGGCTCTAGCTCAGGGCTTGGTGTCACGCGGCAGCCGCCAGCCTGCGCCTCCCGCTGCAACCGCCGCAGTGGCTGGGCCCAGCGCGGCCTCCAGGGTAGCGCCAGGCCATGGCGGTCAAGGACTAGGCGCGTGGGGTCAGGACCGCCGGCCGAGCTGCCCAAGAGTAGGTAGTCGGCGCCCGGCCGCAGGCGCAAGCAGCCACAGGCCAAGTCGGCGCCTGGCACCCAAGCGTCCTGGCCACCACGGTGCACAGGCCTCGCCCGCTGCTTGTACACGGCCATTACGTGCAAGGCCAGCCGCCACCACGCAGGGCCTGCCATCTCGGATGCCAGCACCTGCGCGCGAAGAACTGCAGGAGGGGACATGTCAGGACTGGGCGGTGGGTGGGACCTGGTGGGGAAGGGTTGGGACCTGAGAGTGGGCTTCTGGGATGGTGTCAGTAAAGAGACCTTGAACCTTTGTGGGTACAAAGATGGGCGAGGCCTGCTGGAGGAGACATTGGCAAGGGAAGGAAGGTGGGCTTGTGAGCGTGAAGTGGGGACTTGTGATTGGGAGTCAGCCCCAGAAGAGGGGAGATCACATAGGACGAGGGACCAGGGGCCTGATGTGTCATGTGGCGCATAAAGGAGTCGTAGGGTCGTCGTAAATAGAACTGATGGAAGCAGGACATATTTAAGGTGGGAACGACTGGGAGACCCATGGGAAGAGAGGGGATTCGGGGGTGTAAGCTGGGAACAGAGCAGAAAACGCTGCTCTAGGGGTCTTTAATATGACGGGTCTGAACCTGTTAAGAGCAGAGTTTTGGAAAAGAGGTGTGTTGTGAATGTAGGGTTTGGGGATGAGTTGGGGGATCCTGTCATCCTGTCCCTAGAACTCAAGTTTTGGGGTTTTACTAGTAGTGATTCAGAAAAATGTGCCTTCTGAGGGAAGTGAGGTAAGATGTGTTGGGGGCAGGACTCTGGCTAGTGAGCTGGATTTATGGAGCAGAGCTCTGTGGGAGGTGTGGAGAGAAGGCTCCAGAGTCCAAGATCTAGGATGCTAGTCACCGCATGATGCTCCACAGGGAGAGGTCGCAGGATCCTACCATCCAGGGGAGCAATAGGCTGGTTTGACTCGATGGGGTGGGCTGATGTCCAGAGAGAGCTGAGTTCTCTGAACTCACAGGCCTTGTGGGGAATTGTGGGGGGAGGCTCTGGAAGTGGGGCTAAGTCTCAGATAACTGGGACCCTGAAGGGGAATGACAGTGTCCAAGAGGGGCAGGAGAAGGCAAGGGCCCATTCCATTCTACCATTTCCCTTTCTCCCACCCCCAAGACATTACCACCCTCCCTCCCAGAAGCAGAAGAGCATGAACTTCTGCAAGAACATGAAACAGGAGACATAGGAAGGTAGTGAACACCCCCTCCCCACTACTCCTTCCCCCTACTTGTCTTCTGTCCCATTAGATTCCAGATCAGGAAGAGACCAAAGCCTCTCCCCATTTAAAATGAGAAAACTGAAGACCAGAGTCAGCCAGTGCAGCCCCCCCGACCCCCACACTCACCATAGTCCTGCTGGCAGTACCTCCGGAGGCTCATGTGTACCCTGGTGCCCGAGACATTGCAGTAGTTTTGGCACTGAGGGTCTGGAGAGGGTCGGGCTTGTCTGTGGAGGGCTCCTGAGGCCTGGGCTACAGAGCCCTGCCCCTGCCCATCCCCCAGGTCAGCCGGGAGGCCTAAACTGTTGCAGCTGGGCTCAAGGGGCCATCCCCATTGGTCCCCCCACCTGGGATCCCAATCACCCCATCTTCCATCTCCCTTGCTGCCAGGGGTCTCCAGCCAACCTGTCTTACCAGTGCTGTAAGCTCTGGGGGTTGTGGCAAGGATGGTGGTTGCCTCTGGGATTCCTGTGAGAGACCAAAGAGGACACTGACCTCGCCCCCTGAGGCCCCCCCGCCCCTCCAAGTGTCTAGTCCCTTAAGGCAAACACTTGCCCTCTCCTCTCCCAGACCTGGAGTCCTGGTGTCCGGCTGCTGCTTATCTCAGACCTAGGAGCGGAGTCCAGGTCCCCACCTCCTCCCTCAGACCCAGGAGCTGGGCCCCTAGCCTCTTGCTCCCCAAGACTGAGGCGTCTGGAATTTCAATCCCACCTTCTCCCAGGGAACCAGAATTTGGCTTCCAGCCACTAGCGGCCATCTCAGGGACCTGGCCCTCACCACGCTTCCCTTCCCCCCAAGACCTGGCAAGACTCCTTCCTGCCCCCTGGGACTTGTGACCCTGCCCCTCAAGACTCACTCTGGCAGGGCATCCTGGGGGAGCGGCTCTGCTGGTAGCCAGGACCACAGCGGCTGCAGGCTCGGCCAGTGACCCCTAACTTGCAGGAGCACTGGCCGCTGGTCTGGTTGCAGGTGCCGCCCGCTGCCCCAATAGGGTGGCACTGGCAGGCTGGGCAAGGAAAGGAGCTGGAGATGTGGGTGGCCTCAGGTGCTCCCACCCAACCCCCGGCCTCTGTTCCCCAGCCCTCCCCCTCAGGCCAGGAGTCCAGCCCCTTGGGCCGCAGTCCCGTCCTGCCTCCTGTTCCCCAAAGCAGCCTGCGCTTGCACTCACCCCTGCAAGCCTTGCGGCTGGTGATGGGCAGGCTGGGGTCCCTCCAGAAGCCGGGCTGGCAGTAGTGGCAGTGCCGCCCGGCCGTGTGGTGGCGGCACCTCTCACAAATGCCCCCGCTCCGGCCCCCAGACAGCCTGAACAGCTCCGAGTTGAACCTGCAGCGCCGGGCGTGCTGGTTGCAGGAGCAGGCTGGCGCGAGATGGAGTAGGGTCACACCAGGCTTGGGCTCCCCCTCCCCGGGGTCCCAGCTTTCTCCCCACTCTCAGGGACGTAGTGAAGTGGGGTACAATGTAAGAGATGGGGGGCCCCTGGGTCAGTTTGCGTCCCCAAACCTCTTCATCCTCAACTTTAACATGGGCGCACAGCCCTGAAACAGGGTCCGGCCCTGGGGACTGATGAACCTTCTGAGTATGAAACGGGGGTGGGGGTGGGGGATTAAACATTAAGCAGAGGGTGAGCTGAGGGTGTGGTCAGAACCCTGAGTAGTCTGGTCTGAGTCCCTGGGCCAAGTACTTCTTTCCTTAGCTCAGTTTCCTTTGTTGTAAAATGACGCTTAACAGCGTTCTCTTCAGAGGGGTAAGTGAACTGCCTAGAACATGGCCCCAGGGCCTAACACACTGTGCACCTGCGGGCTTAGAGCTCCTGACCAGGCCGGGGCAGGTGCTAAGGTGCTTAGTTGAAGTGGCGGCCATCCCTGCACCCTGCAGAACGGGCTGCCCACACCCCTGTGTCCCAGACACAAACAGTGGGACACAGAGAGGTTAAGTCACCTGCCCAGAGTAACACAGCTAGGGGGTGGACAGGGGCCAGGTGGGAACGCGGCCTCCCCACTGCGGTCTGCACCCAGCCGCGTTTCTCGGGTTCGCGCATGAGCACATTTTCCTGGAGAGCACCAATCAGCTTTTCTAGGGGGCCGCTCTCCACCCTTCCTACCAGACAGCATCATCCAGAACATCCGGGAACATCACAGATTCCTGGCCCACCCACAGGCTTCTGCTGCGCCCTGTCTTTCTAGCCGGTGTCCAGAGAGAGATGTGCTGCAGGGGGTCCGCTCTTTGGAGAGATTTGAGAAGAGCTTTAACTCAAGGAGTTTGAGGTCAAACTTCTAGTCTTGGAACTGAGTCAGCAGTGCATTCTCAGGCAAATAACACCCCCTCTCTGAGCTCCAGTTTTCTCCTGCAGTGGGGACTGTGCCCCCCAGGGTGCTGAGGGCATCTGAGGTGGCAGTGCTACATTTGTGGGGGGAGTCACATTTGGGAGTTTCCGACCAAGAGGGGCCACTTCCACTCTGGAAACCAGGTTGGGGAGCAGGCTTCACACCTCCGAGTCTGCAAAACCCGCAGCTTCCCCATCTGCCCAGACCATTCCCCATCACAACTCTGCTGGTGTCTCACCCAGGAGCAGCGGGTGTGTGCTGTGCCTGGAGAGACAGCGATCTCCTTCCACACGCTGCCCAAGTCCAGGATGAACCGCCCCCACCCCCCAGGCCACGTGAGTCACCCCTCTCCCCTCCGGGGCATCAAATCTGGCTGTGGGGATGGGCCACTGAACCCAGAGGCCCTGTGGTGGAGGGCAGGGGCCCCAGGAGAATGGTGGCCTCCCGAGAAGGCCCCCAGGGAATGAGGACAGAGTGGGCAGACAGTGGGCTGGGGTGTGAGTCAGTGAATGTCGAGCTGCAGGAAGTGGAGGTGGAGGGGTCGTGGGAGGTGGAGAGAGAAGGGAGTGTGTGTGCAGGCATGTGTGTGCGCATCTGTGGATGTTCCCTCTGCGGCCTGCTAAGGCAGAGGCCCCTTCGCCGAGGGCTGCTGGCTGGGCGGGAGCAGCAGGCGGCTTGTCCTGAGGAGGGGCTGCTGGATGACGGTGTGGAGCACCCTGAGGGGAGAGGCACGGAGGGGGGCCCAGGACTCACGCAGGCAAGGGTGAGGGTGCCGGGGCGTGGCGGGCCGCCAGGGCCAGTCGCGATGGGATGGGCGGCAGCTCTCGCACCCGGGGCCTGTGGTGTGGTGACGGCAGCGGCAGCGGGGGGGCTGGGCGCGGGCAGCGCAGCGGGCGGCGTGACCATGGCACTGGCAGCGGCCTCTCACTCCAGCTGCCGCCAGCCCAGCGGGGCCCCCGAACTCCACACGGAGGTGGCTAGCCACCACACTGGCCTTAGGGCCTGGAGGGACTCGGAAGGTCACTCTCTCGGGCCCCCCCAAGGCCCCAGGCCAGGCGGGTCTACGCCACAGTGATCTCCAGGGGCCTCTGGTGGCCCAGGCAGCAGACAGGATGAGGGCTGGGGGTCCTGGGGTACAGAAGCGCAGGCTGACAGATGTCACGAGGAAGGGGTTCCCCAGAGCCAGGGTCAGGCTGCCATTGCAGGAGGACGGGGAGCCAGGGTCTGCCCCCAGGGAGAGGCTGCAAGCCTGGGGACAGGAGGCCACCATGCCTGCCAGCTGAGTCACTGGTGGGAGGCAGAAGCGGGGGCGGCCCCCTGGATGGTAACAGGGGTCAGCGGTGGCCTGGCTCAGGAGGAGCAAGAGAGCAAAGGTCACGGGCATGGTCCCGACAGAGGCAAGTACCTGCAGAGGAGAGGAGGGGCTAGGATGGGGCTGCCCGACGCCTCGGCCTCCACCGCCTCGGCCTCCACCGCCTCGGCCTCCACCGCCTCGGCCTCCACCGCCTCGGCCTCCACCGGTCTCCAGGGTTCCCTGAGGAGCCCGTCCCACCCCAGCCCTGCCCAGGCCCCCGCCCCGGCTGCTGCTTCTAAGCGAGGAAAATAGTTCCATCTGGGGAGAATTACTGTTTACATAACCCAAAGGGGAAAGAACGCAAGCAAAATTGAGAATTTTGCCTGAACTAATCCGTAGCTTAACACCCCAGAGCTGTCCTTCAGTGTCGAGGGGCAGGGGGCCCTAGGGAGAGGTGGGGAGGGAGGGTTTGGGGAGACAGATGGGGAAGCCTAGCGAGGACACAAGGACACAGAAAGAGCAGGGCTGGGCAGGGCAGGGAAGGGGGAGGCAGAGACAGACCAAGACACAAAGAAATAGAAAAAGGGCTGGAACCCATGGCAGGCAGGCAGAGGGAGCGAGGCCCCGCGTAGGCAGGGCCGGCCAGGGAGCACCCCGAGACAGAGGGGTGGCCAGGAGGCTAGGAAGCAGAGACAAACAGGCCACACACCCAGCGCCCACTGGTTTGGGGGGGTGGGGCCCCCGATGAAGGTAGGTGGACTCAGAGACACCCTGGGAGCAGAAAGAGGCAGACAGAGCAGACAGGGCAGGCAGGCTGCGAGGGGAGGGGGCAGCGGGAGGGCTATGAGGATCAGAAGCCGAGGCCAGGCCCCAGCCCACGGGATCAGAGCGAGGCCCTTTCCCACGTGGGGCCTAACCTTGTTCTCCACACCCAGGGCACGGAGGGGATTATTGCCAACAACCAGCCCCCCTGCCACCCACCCCCTACCCCACCCGCCTTTAACCCTTTCCCACCCAGGCACAAAGCCAGAGATCCACGCTAAGGAACCGGATAAGGGTTTGGGGGTTCGGGGAGCCTGGTTGGCTCTGGGACAGGGAAGTGGGTACAGAGTCCCTGTGGGCCTGCACCGCAGGTGCTAGAAGACTCGGTGGGTGTGCTGCGTGCTTAGATTTCTCCTAATTCAGTCCCCTGCCCGTCGCCCTAGGCTTCTCCCCTGGGATCAGATCCCCCACTTTCTGCACCCATTCACAGGTGCCCAGAGAAGACGGAAGAACAGATTCTGAGGGTGGCAGCTGCTGGGAGAGGAGCGACGTGGGCAGGACAGGGAGAGGCAGCTGCCCAGGCGTCAGGGCCAGGAGACCAGACCCCGGGGTGGCCGGAAGGACTGATACTGAAATGCCGCCTCCCCTTGGGGCCTCAGCCGCTGAGTAGAAACTCACTCAGGCCTGGGAGGCTTGAGTCGTCCGACCCGGTGCCCAGGCCCCTGGCTCTGACTCCGGAAAGCAGCTCCAGTGGGGACTGGGGGTGCACAGTGGGGTCCACACACCCCTAGCCTGACCACACAGACCCCAGTGTCCCCCCTGCAGCTGCCCTGTGCAGGCTACCTCCTCCTGCCCCACAAAAGACAACATGGCCCTCGCCCCTCCCCAGGAGCCCAGGCGCCATTTTGCTCTCCTGTGGCGGCATTTCCAAGAGACTTAGGCACCACCCTGGCTAATGACCGGCCCGTCTCCCGTGTCTCCTTTCTTGCCTGAATGACCTTCAGGGACCACTTTCTGGCCCATCATGCCTCGGCTGACTCGACGAGCCTCCCAGCCTTCCTGGGGAACCCAGAAGTCAGCCCTTGCCCACTGGGGAACCCAGAGACCTGGCCCCCAGCCACTGCCCCTTCTGGCAGCTGTAGCTGCCTGGGCGCCAGAACCCATCGTCGGCCCAGTGCCTGGGTGCGTGGAGTCCATATGGGAGCCAGGCTCTGTTCCCCAGAGCCTGGTTATGCACCCCACCCACCATTCCCCCAAAACTGAGCCAAACCTGTGCCCAAGCAGAGTGCGTCCCCAGGAATCAGCTCCTTGCGTAGAAGCGAGTCCTGCCCTCCCGCAGGGGCTCGGAGGCTGTGGGCTCTGGCGCTAGTGGCTGCTCTCAGGCCCCAGGCTCGTGGGGGTTCTGGGCGGGAGCTCTGAGCAGAGCCTGAAGAATCCAACACCACCACGTCGTTCACCCCCCCCAGATCCCCTCACCAACAGCAGCCTGTTCTCTCTGCAGGGACCCCTGCCAGCCACACCACCCCCAACCGGGGGGGACTTGAGAGCCGGAGCCCCCTGGGGGCCCGCAGCCAGACAGCCCCAAGCAGGCTCGCCCAGGAGGCTGAAGGCAGGTAGGACTGGACCGGGTGGGTGGGCTTCCTCGGTCTGGGATCCACTGGGCTCCCTCACACTCACGCCACGGCCCCACCCACTCCCAACTCCCAGCCCCACCGCCAGCAGCTGCTGATCCGGCAGGGCGACCCGGGGCAATGGGGACGGCTAGCAAGGAGGTGACTCAATGACCTCTGGCTGTGGGTCCTTTACCTTTCTGGAACCTTCCATCAGCTGTGACTTAACAGAGCATTAAGGTCAGTCCCTGGCAAGCCCGAAAACTGTTCTCAGAAGGGCCCAACTGCCCGGAAGCTTAAGGCCTGGGGCACTTTCTAAGACTGCGAGGAGGGAAGTGGTGGAATTCCTTGGTCCTCCAAGTTCCAGGGCTGCAGGGAGAAAGCAGGGATCCCCACTGGGGAGAAGCCCAGAGCTGGTCTTCTCAGGGCCCGTTTCCCATGGCCCTTAAGACCTCAATCGAGAAATGTTCTGAGGAATGGCACTGTGAGAGTTGTCACACACCCCAAGAGTTTTGACTAAAAAAAAAAATCACAGTTTTCCATCTCTTCCCCCTGAGGAAAGCAACGATGGCGGGAGGAAGGGGCACCATGCTTGCTGCTGCGGCCTTGAGTGCTTGTGCTGTGGAACAAGCACTTGGGGACCCATCTTCTGCACTTTGAGGGTGTGTGTAGGGGGCTGTGTAGGGGGGCACAGTCAGGGCTTCCTTGCATGTTAGGGTGAGGGGCCAGCCTGGTGAGAGCCAGGACCGGGACCTGGGCTTTGAAAATAAGCCAGGAGGAGTAAGTAACAGCAAAAGAAAGGGACTGGGGGGGCAGAGAGACACCCCCAAATCAGAGGGGTCATACGGATCCCCGCGCTGGCAGGGCTCACAACCTAAAGCCAGGGGAGAGTGCCATAAAGGAAGTGGAAGTAGTGAACGAAGTTTTAGAGAAAGAAGGTTCAGGGACTTAGGAAAAAAGCCGGTAGGACTTTTACCATGGGGTGGCGGCGTCAGGAGACATGTCCTGAGGGCTTCGGAGGGCATGACCTGGCACAGGGGACAGGGACAGCCGAGCAGGGACTAACGTTGCCAGAGAAAACTCAGAAAGGAGGTTTTGGTCTGGTGGTATTTCCCTCCCCAACCTGGGACTAGAAAATTCTTAGGCTAATGTTACCCAGAGGGGAGTTGGTGTTCACTTTTGTTCTTAAATCCCGAGCTACCTGAGGTAATTAGCACCCCAAAGGTACCGGACAGTGGGTGGAAGGGCTATTGAGCTGAGGAGGCAAATTCCTATTTTTTCTTGTAAAGGGAAGGAGAGACTGGGTGGGGTTGGTGGTGGGGGGGGTAGGGAGGAGAGTTTTCCTCAAATATTAGGTACCTTCACCCTCACAGTGCTGGGGGAAAGTTAGGACCTCTGAGGGGTGGCACAACTCTGATGTGAGCTCAGCAGAGTGGGACCCAGAGCTCTGGGCCTCCAGGGATCCTTTATCCCCACTTCCATGACCCAGTAACTGCAGCAGCCCCATGGAGCAGGGCAGGCCCCTGTGTGTGGAAGTGGATGGAGCGTGTTCTCCCTCAGGACAGTCTTGGAAGATCCAGGACAGTAACTGAGAGCCACACTGCTGGGTGCAGACCCAGCCTCCCCGTCTTTCCTTGCTGTGTGAGCTAAAGTTAGTGTCTTAACTTCTCTGTGCTTTAGTTCCTTGTCTGTTTTATGTATCTCAAAGTAGACTTTCCTCACATTCTCACAAGAACTCAATGAGCAAGCACAGGCCTACAGTTTCCTGCTGTCTGAGAGGAACTCTTTTGGCTAGAGGTGTTTTAGGACCTTGTCCGTATTTTGGCATCCTAAGTAACGATCTCCCCACCACTGGTGGGGTGTGGGCAGCATCCTTATCTCTGCAGCAAAACACCCCGGCATTCACACAAACAGAAATCAAGCCTACAAATTCAGCGTGTGTCAGATCCTGTGCTGAGCAAGCTGGCCCACAAAGAATTGTGGAGGGAAGGGGAAGCCTGGCCCCAGCAGGATGGCCGGCTGGCAGCGACACAGGGCAGTTTACTTGCTTAGTCCTTGGACGGCCAGCAGAGGGAGCCCGCGAGGCTCCCGGGCGTGCGAGGCCGGGCCGGGCCAGCGGGTGATTGGGAGCAACATGGACGTGTGGGCGCCCGGTCCAGACTGGCTGAGACTTTCTGGAGCAGAGCATTAGGCCCAGTGCTGGGTCCTCTTGAGCGTGGCTCACGGGCTGCGTGGAGGTGGCGCTGCAGGGTAGTCCCGTCAAAAAAGCAAAATCCAGCTGAGCAAATGCTGAAGATCGCATTGGCTTTCTTAGGGGTTCATGCCTCAGGCAGCTTCGCTGGCAGGTAGGAAGGAACCAGAGGTGCTCCAGAAAATGTGCTTCTAGGGCAGGAGGAAGCAGGAACAAGGAAGCAAAAGTAACAGCAGGCAGGTGACAGGGGAGGCAGGAAACTCAACACTCGGCAACTTCTCCATGGACTTTCAAATTCCTTTTCTGGGAGAGGCCAAACTGTCGTCTACCTTTGGGGACATGGATTAGCACAGGCGACTCCATTTGCCTTGTTTTCAGCAGTGGCTTTAGCCAGAGCTGGTTGTTCCTCCCTGGTATCCCAGGCCCTGCCTCAGCGCTAAGACCCACCTGGGGCTCCTCTGGGCGGGGAGAACTGGCCAGAGAAGGAAGCCCAAGCCCTTCAGGCAGCGCCCAGAAAGCACCTGAGCTGGGCAGATGACATGAAAATGCGGGCTCAGAACTGTCCCTAGCCCAGCAAGAAGAGGGCTCAGAGCAGACTGACTTGCTTTTTGGAAACTGAAGCAGTAGGACTGTTATAGGGCACCTCAATTCAGAGAGAGGCACCCCTGAAGCCCCAAAACCTGCCTGCTCTAAGTGGGTTTGTTATAGGGCACCTCAATTCAGAGAGAGGCACCCCTGAAGCCCCAAAACCTGCCTGCTCTAAGTGGGTTCTGCCATCCGCCGCAGCAAGACAAAACATATAAAGCTTTAATGAAAAGTGACTTTAATACAGTGAATATACAATATGGGACACAAAGAATATAACTTCTAAATCAAACACCTGAAGTTACCCATCCCCTCGTGGGCAAAAGTCCAC